GTTCAAGAAGATTATTATTGGTGCTTGAAAAAACCTTTCGTTTACAAAATGTTTAGGAATGAACTTTCCCTGAGCCTCATGTTAATAGTATTTTTTTGTTCAATATATAGACCACAGTAAGACTTTTTTTAAATGTGTTTATTACATTAACAAACGACGTTTCGGAGATTTACTCCATCTTCAGGTACTGTGGTCTATATATTGAACACAAAATATACTTTCGTTTACAGTTAACTACAAACTATCTCTAGAAAATAATGAAGTTTTTGTTGAATCGTGCACCATAACTTCTTTCAATACATCGAATTCATCCGCCTCGTACTTGTCCTGGCAAAGCGGGATCATATAAACAGCCCCTTATTCAGCAAATTGTGCAGACTGCCTTTGATCCCTTGGGGGTGAGGCAGCACTTTCCTTGCGATAGTAACTTCTGGTTCAATTAATAAATACCTGTCTAAAGGCCCATACAGACCGGACGCGATTTGGCAACGCGACGCGAATTTTCAGTTTTCAATGACATTTAACTTTAATATTTTTCAATGTTTTTCAAATATTCGGAACCACTTAAGCAATTTTAGCTATTTGGTCTGCATATCTTGTAAAATCTTTATCCGTTGACGGTTTTATTTGTTTTTTGAAAACTGAAAATTCGCGTCGCGTTGCCGAATCGCGTCTGGTCTGTGTGGGCTTTAAGGAGTTAAGGGGCCCTTTACACGAGCCCGGGCTGATTTTCAACCCGGGTCAGCGCGCCACACGTGGTTATTTTTTATTATTATTTAACACGGACACGGGCTGAAAGTGATTCTTGCCAACCCGGGTTGGCTCCCAACCTCGTACCCAGGATCTTTCTTTGGGAAAGATCCTGGCTGCGGCTGATCACGTGCCTCATCAAACATTTAGCGTCCGAGGGGGTGTAGGGAAAGTATCAAATTACATCAACATTCTTCCAGTGGTTCAAAATACTTGCTAATTTTTGTTTATTTTCTTTGCTTTGAATTTACAAGAACATTCTTACATTCTTACTTACAGTCAAGTCAAGAAACCAAGCAAATCGTTACTCGCAGTGCTCTCTGATGTTGTTATTCAAATGCATGCTCTCCGCTTCACACTCGAGCGCGGTTATACAGGGTGCAGTGCTCTCACAATCAAATTTTCGAATTCCTTAGAAAAAGCTCGAAAATTCCTCAGATTTCCTTAAAATTCCTTAAATTGGTAAAACTACTACAAGGCCTGATCACAGAGTCGCAAAAAGTGTTTTTTTCACCTGATTTACCTGAACTTTTCGAACTGAACGTTCTTTAAAACCGTATTTTTTGAAAATTTGAAGTTTCTAGACCGTCGGAAATGGCATTTTTAAAGTCTTTCCTACCCAATATTTTAGTATTGCCTGACAATGAAGATAAGTATTGCTACTTGCAGTTTATAATGGGAAATTGAGAAAATTTTGGAAATTTGGAGTCTCCAGATCGTCAGAAAGGGTATTTCGCAATTGTCTCCCTGCCACAACACGTCTCAACGTCTTTAGTTTGTTTGATTGTTAACTCCAATTCAGATTAGAGAGATCACTTTTTTATGCCCTGAGAATTACCTGAAAATCTACAGGATATCTACCTGAAATTGTTCATTCATGAGCAACATTAGGGGTGTTGCACCCTCCCTCCCCCCTCCCCCGGTCGCTAGGGCCCTGAGAACTTAGAAAATCTGTAGATTTCAGAAGAAACGGCATACACTGACATTTAACTTTTGAGAATTTTAATGGGAAGACAGCCATATGTACATTTACGACATAGAGAACATACGAATATATGTAATTATGTGCATATAATGTTACTACTTTCAAGTTTAAATCTCATTTGCGTGGCGTGACTATTCTCCGTCAGAACGTTTTTAGTCCAGGATAAAATGTTTTGGAAATTCCTTAAAAAAATCCTCAAAAACCTAAATTCCTTAAAAAAATCCTTAAAACTCTTCAAAATTCCTATTTTTAAGGATAATTCCTTAAAAGTGAGAGCACTGACAGGGTGTAAACAGGTGGGAAATTTGTCTGAGCATGCGCGAGCAAAGTGAGCAACACAACTGCGTGGAATACACGCAACGCGTGTTTACAAAAAGGCACAATCGTGTAAATATTGCCAAATGTTTGTACAAAATAAATTACTGTTTTATGTTGAAAATGGACATGATCTAAATCAATCATACAGAATTTTTTAGTGACGTTCTATTTCAGTACCCTGCCATTGTCTCTGGCGGGTTGTCCGTGTGCATTCGATCTGAAACAGTCGCTACTATTCTGTCGAAAAATTTCGAATGTTTACATGAAAATAGAGGCAAGTCATGCATTTTACAACCTCGTAAACTGTATGAGCCCCTATTTTTACGCTTATACCTAAGATATCAAATAAAAATACATGAAACAGAGAACATTTTCAGAAAGTTTTATCGTGAGGCCACGGCCAGTTTTTAAAATATCTTTATTTCTGTTCCGGTCATCACCAAAATTACGTAGCCGGGCTTGAAATATATACAACAAATTTTGAATCTCATCAAGTACAAAAATATTTAACGTGTAACCAAAATATGCTCACGAAATCGAAATTAATAGCTAAATTTTCAAACTAGACCCTTCTCGAGCCGGTTTTCATGAAGGAAGTTCAAATTTCGGCCTTTGATTCCTGGCAAAAATTTGACAACAACACGTGCGAAGCAACTGGGTCTCAAAGACTCAGCTAAAACATTGTGAGCCCCTATTTTCCTGACGATATGTTTGATACCTACAAACACCTAAAAGTTTTTTCTTTTTATTTACCTATATTTGAAATTGAGGCCACGGGCTATTTTTGAGAAAATACAGTTCAAAGTCAAGCTATTTTTACATATTTTCAAAATTTGTCAAATTTCGCGAGCTTGTATTTTGAACTTAGACAGCTGAAGTTACATTAAGAAACATAGGATGGAATATTTGAGGCATATAAAGGATCGTGACTAAAACACCACACGAGTACATACGAGTAACATACGAGTACATACGAGTACATACGAGTAACACACGAGTACATACGAGTAGCATACGAGTAACATACGAGTACGTACGAGTAACACACGAGTACATACGAGTAACATACGAGTAAAACACAAGTACATACGAGTAGAATACGAGTACATACGAGTAAAATACGACTAGTAATCTTGTTTTTAGTGTTTGTAGATTGAATACAGGCAAAAAGATCGTCTTCTCTGTCGAAAAACGTGGAATGGGGGACGGGGAATGGGGAATGGGAGATCGGGGAATGGGGGAACGAGTAACGGGGGGGGGGGGGGGAAATGGGGGAATTAGGA